GCAGCCAGCCAAGGTCAACCCATCACAAGCTGGTAGGCAGATCTGTCAGACACTGCCACATTGCTGAAGAAAGTAAGTATATTGCCTGGTAGGTACAGGTTAATAAGGAGTGTACTCTTTTTAAGAGACAGCTGTTGGAATGATTCCTCGGTAGGTAACACAAATAAAAATCTTGGGCTGTTGCTTTTAAGCAGTCCCTTTGTGATACTAAGATTTGCTTCCCAATAATGTGATGCTAGTGATTAGTGGCTATGGCTGTTATAATGATGACAGAGTTGTACCTTTTTCTTGTAGAGCTTCATAAATCTGTCTTTCAGTCCAATAAAAGTTGGTTTCACACAGGTGTTGTTTGCTAAAGCTAGAAGGGAATGGGAATGGCCCACAGGAGGTACTGAACACAAACCAGTTTTCCAGCCCTCTTGATTCCAGGAGACAAAGTGCAGGGAAGGCTTCAACCTATGATACAAAAACTTACAGTTACCTAAGCAAAGTAAAGAACACAAAGCCTAAATTTCCTTCGCTAACAAACAGTCTGAAAAGGTGAACATTAAAGCTTGCAAGATTAAGACAGTTATAACTAGCATTTTGAATAGGACATTTTAGACTTCAGACTAAAACAGTGTCTATTTTAAATTCAAACTGCAAACACCGATTTTGTTTCAATAACTTAATGTATTTTACCTAAGCAAAGTAAAGAACACAAAGCCTAAATTTCCTTCGCTAACAAACAGTCTGAAAAGGTGAACATTAAAGCTTGCAAGATTAAGACAGTTATAACTAGCATTTTGAATAGGACATTTTAGACTTCAGACTAAAACAGTGTCTATTTTAAATTCAAACTGCAAACATCGATTTTGTTTCAATAACTTAATGTATTAGTATGGTACCCTGTTATTACCCAGCTGGCATGAATTGAATCTAATGAACTAATTAACTTAAGGTATAGACCTTGCCTACAAAAGGCGGGCCATTTCCTCCTGGCTGCGGAAGATGCAATGGGAGCTGCAGCCCAGGCTGGTGAGCAACATCTGGTGACCCTGACGTGATACATCTGAGAGACCCTGAGGACCCTGACTCCCTCGCCGGAGCCAGGACCGGAGTGAGAGTCCTTCGATAAAGAAGGTAAAGCCGCAAGCCCCGATGTGGTATTTGTGGGAGGGAAGCGTGCTGGAGTTGGTACGAATGGACTGGGTCTCTGCTCACTGTAAAGCCTTCACTTTCCTCTAAAAATAAAAAATTGTAAAAAAAAAAGGGGGGGAATTACGGTATCCTGTTATTACCCAGATGGCATGAATTGAAACTAATGAACTAATTAACTAAGGTATAGACCCTGCCTACAAAAGGTGGGCCATTTCCTCTGGCTACGGAAGATGCAATGGCATCCTTGGAGCTGCAGCCCAGGCTGGTGAGCAACATATTAGGGTTTGAAAAGTAAAGTTACAAGCACCTATTTCTATAAAAGGGACTGCAAGCACTCTGAGATTTAGGAGAGGGTCAGATTAATACTGTGCAGGGACAACCAATAGTAGTAGTTTAGAAGTAAAATATTGTGATTCTCAGAAACTTTCCCCACATGCCCCTGTCTGCCTGTAAATTCCATCCTGTACACGAAGCTTGCCTGCCTTTTCTGTCATAACTATGCAGATCAATAGTGCAAAAGGTAGAAAACAGTGCTAACAACACAGAGTTGTTAAAACGAGGATTATTCCCTATGTACGCAAGAGTAACCATGAAAGAGAGCAGGCTTCTGTTCAGAAAAAAACCACAAACTTCTACAGAACCTATTCCTCCAACATCCCTTCCTGGCAGGAGATCTCTGGAAGGTTGGGTTTTGCTTTCTTTTGCTTTTTTGAGATTGAGAGGAGCAGCACAGGGACACCTAGTCAGCTCCCTTTATTCGGAAATCCAAGAATGCTGTGCCTTATTCTAACTCATGAAGTAAATTATTTTCTTCTCTTCTGAAATTAAGAAAAATATTTCTGAGTCGTCTGATTTGGTATTGAAATTCTTTAGATGAAAAGTGAGAATGCTCTGGACAACAGTTTCAATAACAAATACTATGACTACTTGGTGTGGAATTACAAACCTTTCAATATTTCTGCGAAGGTCTGAAACCTGCACGTTTCCTCGAACGAGAAGTGCACAGGCAAGGTAGAGGCTATGCTTTGGATCTGCTTGAATTAGTTGATGATCTCTACTAAAAGCATCTGAAAACATCTGATCCAACCTAGGTAGAACGAAAACAGAGTTATTTACTCTTATTAAAGCAGGCCACAAAAGTTCTTTGGATTGCCATCTTCAGGGTTTAAAAGTTCATAAAATTCTGGAAATAAAGGCACATTTAACATGGGACCATGAATGACAGGAAAAAGATTCAAACCATTTATGTACATATGTTGGCATTATAAGTTTTTAAAAACAGATCAGATCTATTTTTCCCCTCTCTTCTCCCTCATGTTACAAGCCACTGTTGAGTATGAAGTCAGAGAAGTGGACAGACTAAGAGACCTTTATTAAGGAAATTCTAGGTCAACTTTTACAAAGTATTAAAATATGTAAAAGGATTTAAATACTTGAGGTTCTGGTTTTGTGACAATTTGAGCAGACAATCTCACTGCTCGTGAAGGATCTGACAAGGAATATCAAAGTGCTGCTGACCCTTATAGAACGGATTATCTGTTACACTTTACTATTCAAAAAAAGGAATAATAAATGAACCATGCAACTGTATCCATTTTGATTAGTGAGTTAGGAAAAGACAGACTATACTTAATAGAATTTTATCATGTATGACTGCTTTAAAAGAGGACACAGCAGATCATATTCTTCCTCTCTTCACCTCCTTAAACAAATTCCACTGTACTGTGGGATATCAAAGATGGTGTCTTGAGGAGGTCTCTAAGGACCCATAACATCTAACCTATTCTTTCCATATATTCCAAACCCTCTGCATCTATCCTTTCTATTTTTTTTTTAAATCACCTCTGCCACAATCTGCCTATTAAAAACCAACTAAATAAAGGAGACAAAAATACTACTGTTCCCACCTCATTCTGAAACATGATTGACTGAGCATCTTCCCATCATATCTGCTATCTTCCCTCCAGCACTGAATTGTCTCCTCAGGGAATGGTTTCAAGAGATCCAACTGATTGCCACAACTAGCTATGACAGAAGAGGGGTGGTCCTGCCCTCTTCTCCACTTGGCATACTTCCATCACTTACCTGTAGCTGTCTCTATTGCTATTTGGACCTTTTGCTGACTGAATTTAACTTACTAAAACCAGTGAAATCTGTTTTAACCGGTTACTTTTTTTTGCCATGTCAATGGGATAAATCATCTCACAGAATTTGACAAGCATCAGCTTATTGTTACAATAAGCTGTTAAATAGGCTCACTGCATCTCCAGACTGAAGTAAGATGCCATTACTCCCCAAGCAGTCTGGTTCAATTCCTTGTTTATCTTCACAGTTTTTTGTGAGTCAACTGCAAACTGTTACTCCAAAGAACTTGTGGTGTGGGTTCTATATATCATCTAAGTAACACATTTTTCCATCAGAACCATTTCCCAGCAGAGATAATAAAAATACGTTTCAAGTTTACTTGCTTAACCATCACAGAGAAAAGGGACAAAGGATGTTCTCAAGATCAGCAGGACAAATTTGAAAATGTGTCAAACTTAAAACTTTAAGAACTTCAACCCTTAGTTTCGCTATAGAACGGAACTTTTAAAATAAAAACTATGGAAGAATTAGAAGTTAAGCTTCAAAAGTAAAGCTTCTATAACAATTTTTTCTTACCTTCTAGAAGGTACATTAACATCAGCCAATGTATACAAAGGAGTCAAGCTTGAAACCAAGTAATGAAGTCGAGGAAATGGAACCAAATTCATGCTGATTTCATTAAGATCCATGTTAAGGGAACCTTCAAACCTAGCAGAGCTGAAAAATTGACAAGGCTTACAAAATTGTTATAAACTAAGTAAGTGACCTTTATAAGGTAAACATTAATTAAATCTATTTTTCAACTGTTCCCTACAGTGAAACAGTAAAACACAGCGTTTCAAAAGTGTTCACATATAATTACTAAGCTCTCACATTTGGCAGTAACAATGCTATATCTTATTTCCTTACACTTCTCATTATAGAACAATTAATCATCAGGAATGAGACCTTATGTTTCCCAATTTTAGTCTCTAGCACTGTTTTTCAGTATGTGGACATAGCTGCTGAACACCAGTTTTAATAAATAGGCTATAATAAAACAAGCATGCCTTAGCATTCCTGACAAGCTGTTTAAAAGAAAAGCAGGCCAATACTCCAGTACACTTGACCAGGATTTTCTTAGAGCAATAGACCATTTAGGAGCAACAATGATCTGATGGTATTTATAAAATAATACAATTTGCCCAGATAGTCAAGCCTCCCTTGGCTCAATTAAGCATTATTGGAAGACAATATCTTTCTGCCTATAAACTTTTCCTTACTTCAGGTCTAAGACTATCATGGCTAGAGCAACACCATTGCAATCTGAATACCTCCAAATACTTTAACACTTAGTAACTAATTCTTAAAAAGAGGAGACTCATATCAAACGGAAAACAATTAATGTTCTTTGAGTTGATGCGGGCCTGCGTATTTGCAGCACACACCACCCCTAGCAATACTACTTTTACAGAGAAATAACCTGTGACTTTACCTTGTCAGTTTTTCAAGTTGGCGACGATATTATTCATTGCGTCAAACGGCTTCTCTTGTCTGGTTTTTGCACTGCCTGCACTCGATGTTACCAAGCTGGTTTGCTTCACGGTTGACCCCAGCTTCCCAGAATTGATCATCTGATGAATTTTATTAACTATATCAAACAGAGACTTCGAGAGAGAAAAAAAAGCATACCAGAAGTCTTCAGCACAGAACTTTCAAATTCAGTACCCCAATTTTTCATTTCAACTAATCTTAACGAAAAAGCTGAGACATGGTACTGTTACTTCAAAGATGTAAGTCCAACTTTTGACCAATTCCAATTGACTGAAGTGTTTGTAAAAGACTGTTCCTTACTTGTCACAAACATGTACACAGCTAGACTCAGAAGTCTGAATTTTATTCAAGTCAAAATCCTCAACTTCTAAAATTATATTTTAAATTATCGTAATTCCTGTAAAAGTAAAAATATATTCTCTAAATATATTTCACTTTCTCCTGCTTTTTTGATACATAAAGAGCAAGAGTCATCAAAATTAGATTCAAATGAGCGTAGTGATTTGTGCAGTCAGTTGTGCCTATGATGCCTACATCACCAATCAGTAAAGTCTGTTGGAATTTGGAGTGGTTAGCCATTTCCCTCGCAGGACTTTACTAATACTATGCACAAATTGATTGCTAAAAGAATATAAAACTCTCAATCTCAGTAAATAGAAGCTTTTCATTGTTTACCTTCAAATAGACATGAAAAAATTCACTCTAACAGAGCAACTTTTTAGTGATACCCATATTAATTTCAAAGGCTGAAAGTGACTTAGGAGTTCAATTAGTCTTTTGAAAATGAAAATATACTTTTTAAGATTGGCACTCAAATCAATACAAAAAAGGAAGAAACACTTCCTGTGTGCAGTGTAATAAAAAGAAATTGACAGAAATAGAATATAATTTCTTACTTCATTCTCTATTGGTAGCACACAGTCTGCATGTTCATTAAGCTCCTTCATAGCCAGAACACTGTTATATGGGGAAGTAATAACATCATCTTCACCAGAGGGATAAACTGAAGTAACAAATCTATATACCTCGGGGAATTCATCTTCAAGCAAATTTAGTACAAAAGTTCCAAGACCAGATCCTGTTCCTAATTATGAGACAGAATGAGAGAAGATAAAAGGTTCCCCATGTTACCATAAGCCTTAAGTCTCATATGTTGGAAACATACAACCTTGTAATGACATACATTAATGAAGCATTTGGTTGACAGTGGAGGCTACCTAGGTGTAAATTAAAGCAGGAAGTTTTTTTTCCCAGACAGGAATACAATTAAGTGATAAAAGTATTTCCCATAGTATACCAGACAGGATGAAGTACACCCTCTCAAAAATTTCTGCAAACCAAAAAGTCCTATTACGTAACCAGCATTTTTCTTATCTAGTATTTTTAGTTCTTATTTTAAAATCTTCAATTTGAATTTTGAAATAAAACATTCATTTAAAAACATTGAACTGCCCTAAGCAACTATTTACTTTCCTTTTGGCATTTTATAAGTTTTTCTCATTCTCCAGTCAAAACAGAATAATCCCTTCCCCTCCTCAGCACACACACTTTTTTCCTCATTAGCACTAAGCACAGAGCACCGAGTTCTAATTAGAGATCTGAACTGGTTTTTCTTCTGTCTTGGAAAGCTAACATTCTAAGCAGCAGACATCTACGAACAAGATAGCAACTTTCTGCAACAACAGAAACAATATCTGCAGGGTTTCTCAAATTAAAATGATGGCCACAAAAAAGGTCCTTGACAAAACTCCTGCTTCATATTTAGAGCTATTTTCTGTGTTTTTTTTTCCACATCATAACCATTTATAATACATGCTCCCCCCACATTTCTGGGGGAGAAAGGCTTAACGGCAGCAAAGCAATGACAAAATTGTCACTGCAAGGGATTATCCCTTCTGATTTATTAACAAAGTAGCTAGACCAGATTCAAGAGAATTATATGGAAGGAAGATAGAAAAAACGAAGCTTTTCTAAAGTTAAGCAACATTAGAAGTCTCCTTCAAAGCCTTTTGTTCCCCACGATTCAAAATAACTTGATTGTAACAATGAAATCAGTGTTCTGAGGCCCCTGTCCCTTCTGATCGGCAACATCTCAGTGTTTCCTTGTATTTGGTACCTGTCTTGATCCACCCACTGCCTCCTATTTAAGATCTTAGCTGTATTTATGTTCTGGGTAGCACTTATCTTAGTTCATGATTAGGGCTCCTCAGTACTCTAACAAAACAAATGATAAATAATTACAAGTCCACTTTATTGGACTGTGTGAGATTTTTTTATTTTGCATTCTGAATGAGGTAGATAATTACATTGATTTTCTTTTCAAGATCTAGGTTTTTCTTTTTCACCTGTGGTTGGTGCAATCATATTAACCATAAAAAAATTACTTACCACCTCCCATAGAATGAACTATAAAAAAACACTGTAGACAGTCACAATGTTCTGCAGTTTTCCTCAGCTTCTCCACAATGTTTTCCCGGTACCGATAGCCATATAGCTTATGACCTACAGCCCTGAAGATATGAAAAGTATTTTAAAAAAATAACCCAAAGACCAATCTTTCAGTTTTTTATTTTAACTCCTCCTATTTGACATTTTAGAGTTCAGAGTCCAGAGCTGGGTACAACACCTAATTTGTGAGAGTTGCCAAGCTGTGACTACATCACTTGAATATGGGAGTCAGGATACAGTTTTAATTTTGAGGGTGCAAGCAGAACTAAGTTCATGGCTTTGGAGTGTGCAGTTATTTTGTACCAACAAGGAAATGAGCTCCCACGTTGGATGATCAAATTGTAATTATGAAATGAAAGTTATACACTCCTTAACAATAGGGATATCCCTATGCAATATGTGTACTCATCTTCTGTTCAGTACTATGTGAGTCAGTTGCTAACAGTAATAAAAAAAAAAAACAGACGGCTCATTTTCAACACACTTGCTTGCTACATGGCAAAGTTACAGGAAGCTTTATTCCCTGTATTGCACTATCTTTCAGTGCTCTTGCTGATGATTTCCTTTCCAGTCTGTAGTGCGCTGAATATTATCACAGGTGCATTAAGGTCTCAGTGAAAATTTTGAATTAGTTATGTTAATTCATTTTTTTCTGAATTTCTCTCTTTGGTAATGTATTTTATATGCACAAAGCCAGATTCCGTGGTGCTTGAAAATCAGAAGTGCATTTATTCATATATCTCATTTCCACACTAGTTGCACAGTCTCAAAACTAGATTATGGCTTCGACTGAGCAATGCAGGCAGCTGAATACCAAAGAAACAAAAATAAAAAGCATGTTCTTTTCAAAAAGAAAATCAAAAAAGATGAAGAAAAAAAAGACAAAGTGATGTATCAGCAGAATTATCCTTCTGTAAAAGGCTTCTCAAAGCTCTTCTCCCGGCAACAGTGACTCCAAAGTTTACTGGTAACATGCTGGAGCTCCCCAGGTGCAGAAAGAACCAGAAAGCTACTGTTATCATTTCCCTTTTCAAATGCCATCTAATTAGTTGCTAAGAAATGCTTTCTGAAGAGGTTCTCACCAGTTGTTTCCTGAACCAGAAACATCTGTGATAAGCTGCTTGCTATCAAACACATCCCTCAATGGTCCCTGCAGAATTTCATTTACCACACCCTCTTCCATGTCAATCAACAGTGCCTTTGAGAAAGCAGAGAATGAAGATTCAGTCAGTAAGCAAACCACTCTTCAAAATAATAAAGAAATACAATATTATTTACAATATAAAATGTATGTTGTTTCTACTGTGCTCCAGAGAAACTTTTTTTTTTTAGTTGTCAACTAGGAGATCAACTCGATTCACCTGGGCTGATTTGCTAGGAGTCCTTCAATAGCACAGCATTTCAGATAATGCAATTTTGTTAAAATTTTATAATATTTTGCCCCAATATCTAGGAGTAAAGAAATTAAAGCATTTTTATGTTTCAAGTCATCTTGCTTCTTAATCACTTTAATTGGCTCAAAAAACCCACTCCTTAGAAAATTCAAATAAAAACATGTTGGTAATATCAGCAATCATTTAATAAAATTATAATTTACATTACTCAACAAGACTGGCAGCAAACTGCATTACTCCACTGAATCATAAAAGTTACTACTAGAAATTTTACTATTCAAAGTAGCATTTTAAAACATACGCCATTACAAGGACCTTACGAAAATTCCTACGCAGTTGGACATAAATATGCAATGTAAAAACAATGATCTTTATAGATTGCCTTACTCGTGCTTTTAAAGAGCAGATTTTTCCTTTGTAAATGTCAGGTCCATCACCACCACTTCTATAAATGAAGAATCAAAAAAAACAAGCTCAGAATTGTAATAGAAAATAAGGCAACATATATCAGAACAAAATCCTCCTTCTTAATCTTTCGTGTTCAGAGGGCTATTACAATGTACACAAACAGAAACACCCTGAACATGCTGCTAAGAAAGACCTCGTAATTCCCTGAAGTAATGCGGTTACAGGACACGATCTCAATCGGAAATATCCTAAGGAGTACTTCAGGAAGCTGAAAAGATAAGCATTGAAAGTTTATTCTCAGATACAGCCTCTGCTCTGTGGTAACTCTACAAGCATTGCCAAAACTCGAAAGGATTATCTTTTATCCAGCATGTGGTATGTCTGCATCACACAACGGAACACAGCGCACCAAACAGCACGGCTACCTTTTCAGTGGGGGTAGTACAGCACTGTACTACTGCTCAAGGTGGGAAAGCTGCGTACCTGCACTAGCACAGCACTCACCTTGACTTATTTTGCCATTAAGATTCACCAGTTCAGAAATCATGCTGGGCTGACATACCTTAATTTTGCTTTTTTCCAGGACTAGCTGTACTGAGCCAACCTAAGGGACTAAGCATTGTGTACAATCACACTTTTTCCACCATGAAGGCTGGTGCTTCTGCACTCAAAGGATGAGTTACTCTGGACTTGCCAAACTATATTCAACACAGTGGGAAAAAAAGGCAGGGATACCGGAAGATGGATCTGTCAGATAAAAGGAATTTTAAAACCGACACCAACTTTTTTGTCTACCTTGTACACAATTCCTTTTACAACTCTTCAATAAATGCTGCTAAGTTGGCATTCAGAGGGTTTGCAGTCTGATCGTGACTCGCAATGGCAAACGCTATCAGATCCCGACTGTCTGGTTTTTGGTACAGAGGAAAGGAAAACAAACCTAAACACTTTCAACACCTTTAACTACTGAAGTAGGTATAGTTAAAATAAAAAGGTAAAGATAGTGTTTTGAGGATAATATAAAAAAGTAAAATCTAGTACAAACTAAATATGACCTGAAACAGAGAAAACTGTACCTCAGGTTAAGAGGAGATAGTAGAATTGTTGATCTATTGTGTTAAACTCATGTGCTGCTTGATAAAAAGACTTACCTTGTATCTACGTTCCTAAAGAAACTGCTTAATGCTTCATCATAGATTCCTTTCTAAAAGGAAACATGACATAAAATGATATGTAACATCACAAATTCTCAGTGCTTTTCATAGAAAAATTTAAGTCGGAAGGGACCTCTGGAGGACACCGGTCAAACCTCCCCATTCAAAATGGAGTGAACGCCTACGTTGAATCCTACTAGCTCTTGTCAGCACTAAAAAGAATATTTCATTGAAGTATCAGCTTGATTTTAAAAACTGTCAGGAGAATGGAGCTAGGAAATTAATTTTTCAGCACAAGGTTAAACAACTACTCTTCCTTCACTTCAAAAGATTTAGGATTTTACTGAAGATCCCAGTGCAATTATTAGATTGAATACCTGCTGTTTAGCTTACTCAGTTCATCACTGATACAACATACGGTTCATCACAGGCTCCATGCCCATGATACTAATGTCCATAAAATTCTGTGGAAAAGAAAGCACATCACACTGCATCAGCGATTCCTAAACTCCCCACTGAAGGGTGGTGTGGAAATTACTTACCCCATCATAAAGCTAGAGATCTGGCAAGTTTAAATACTTTAACATTATTATTTTACAGACTGCTTACCATACTCCCAAAAACCTGATGAAGCAGAATTTGGAAGTCACTGTTCTCTAAAAGCAAGAGACTCTCCATATGCATATGAACTTATCCATTGCCTTTTTACAGCTGCTTCAACAGAAGGCATGGAGAAGGACTGCTCATCGTTATCTGTTAATATACTGTGCTTACCAGGTGTGGGAAAATAACTGAAGTTGGAGCAGAATGGGAGAACATTGTCCCCCAAAATTCAGCTACATCTCAACATAAGCTGTAATATCAGAGCAGCTCTGAGATGAGACACAGCTGCTGCTCCCAGGAACAAACAAGACCTACATAATATCCTTGAAATGGGGAATAGAGTGATATGGAGGTATCACGACTCATCCTTGTTTTCCGGGATAAGGAATAGCAAATAAGGCCTACGTAATACCCTTGAAATGGGGAATAGAGTGATACGGAGGTATCACAGCTCATCAGGGATAAGGGGCACCTGGTGAGGATAAAGATGAATCACAACAGCTGCCTCAGCAGTAATGGTGAAATCGTGTCCTTTAGCTACCAAATCACACCTCCATCCACCTCCAAGCTGCGACGACCCCTCATGAGAGAAATTTACACCAATCCTAATAAAGTTATGTATGACTAGAGTCACTCGAGCTCCACCTAAAAGAAATGAAAAAGTATAAAATGGCAAAAGACAAAGGGGATGTTAGGGAGAAGCCCCTCCATCAAAATGTCTGGGATCAGTTGACGGGCTGAACCTCTCTTCTCCCCCTCATAGGGACACCTATTGGGTAAGAGCTCTGTGTTATGTGCACTTATTTACTAACACCTTGCTAGCTATTTAGTATTATCACTGATCAGTAATAGTTTTATATTTTCACTGTAGTATTTTAGTTAAAGTTTTTCTTGTAGTCAGTCACTATCACTGGCTATCTACAAATCTATATTCTGTCACGAATAAAATATATATACACGTTTCCAGAGACCTGTCTCCTTATTAGGAGTTTTGGCCATAGTATTACTGTTGTTGACCTATATATTTGGGGAAACCAGTATACTAGCCAAAGTTATTATTTTATATATATATACACACATATTTAAACGTGTCTCCTTATTAGGAGTTCAGGCCATAGTACTACTGCTGTTAACCTATAAGTGGGCAAACACCCTCCGACTAACTGTGGCTGCCAAGGGAGGGCAAGGGGAATTGGGCTCAAGGGTCTCGTGGCATTTGGGGAAACCGGTGTACGAGCCAGAATTATCTTCTCGTCTATTGGTATTGTGTCCCACGCTCTGAATTGGGGCGCTGATAGACCGGTCTTTTGACCTCTTAACGTGACACCAGGAAATAGCATCTTTATAGTCACAGCAAGAAGAGCTCATTTTTATCCAGGGTATTCAGCACAGTCCTAAATATATCCTCATTATGCTGCTATTTTGGTCAGCATAACTGTACAATGAGTCACTGCACGGCATGTGCCAACACGAAAACAAACGTGGGCTTTAGTGTGCTGTTTTGCTTTACTCCAGTGGCAAAGAACCCGTACTGAACAACCCTCTCTTCTTACTAACCGCCTCAGGGCTAGTACTGTCTGCCTGTAAGGAGGAATCCTGGGCTTTTCAAGGTGGAAGGGCTCATCTGGATTAGACGCGATTAGTTAAGCGGCATAAAAGCCTGGAGACAGCTCTGCTCACAAGGAAGCGGCCCTAGTTCAAACAAAGGCGGTGCTTTGCAGTCACAGTAAAGAACATGGGGGCCGCCATGGCCCTCCTCGCCCCAACCCCGCCCCCCCTGCCCCGCCGCCGCGCCGCTCGGGCCAGCAGCGGCCGGGGGCGGGCGGGGGGGCGCGGGA